TGCATAACGCAGGTGGTTAATGAGTCTTCCTCCAATTCTGATGTCCCGTTCTTCTTCCTATAGTCCAGCTTCTCGGATTATTTGCTCAGCATACAGATTGAATAGGTATGGTGAAAGGATACAACCCTGACGCACACCTTTCCTGACTTTAATCCATGCAGTATCCCCTTGTTTTGTTCGAACAACTGCCTCTTGGTCTATATACCAGTTCCTTATGAGCACGATTAAGTGTTCTGAAATTCCCATTCTTCACAATGTTATCCATAATTTGTTATGATCCACACAGTCGAATGCCTTTGCATAGTCAATAAAACACAGGTAAACATCTTTCTGGTATTCTCTGCTTTCAGCCAGGATCCACCTAACATCAGCAATGATATCCCTGGTTCCACATCCTCTTCTGAATTTGGCTTGAATTTCTGGCAGTTCCCTGTCGATAAACTGCTGCAGCTGCTTTTGAATGATCTTCAGCAAAATTTTACCTGTGTGACATTAACGATGATATTGTTTGATAATTTCCACATTTGGTTGGATCACCCTTCTTGGGAATAGGCATGAATATGGATCTCTTCCAGTTGGTTGGCCAGGTAGCTGTCTTCCAAATTTCTTGGCATAGACGAGTGAGCACTTCCAGTGCTGCATCTGTTTGTTGAAACATCTCAATTGATATTCTGTCAATTCCTGGAGCCATGTTTTTCACCAATGCCTTTAGTGCAGCTTAGACTTCTTCCTTCAGTACCATCAGTTCCTGATCATATGCTACCTCCTGAAATGGTTGAACATTGACCAATTCTTGTTGGTATAATGACTCTGTGTATTCCTTCCACCTTCTTTTGATGCTTCCTGTGTTGTTTAATATTCTCCCCATAGAATCCTTCACTATTGCAACTTGAGGCTTGAATTTTTCTTCAGTTCTTTCAGCTTGCGAAATGCCGAGTGTGTTCTTCCCCTTTGGTTTCCTATCTCCCGCTCTTTGCACAAGTCATTATAATACTTCACTTTGTCTTCTCGAGCCACCCTTCGAAATCTTCTGTTCAGTTCTTTCACTTCATAATTTCTTCCTTTTGCTTTAGCTACTCAACGTTCAAGAGCAAGTTTCAGAGTCTCTTCTGACATCCATTTTGGTCTTTTCTTTTTCTCCTGTATTTTAATGACCACTTACTTTCTTCATGTATGATGTCCTTGGTGTCATTCAACAACTCATCTGGTCTTTGGTCGTTAGTGTTCAATGCATCAAATCTATTCTTGAAATGGTCTCTAAATTCAGGTGGGATATACTCAAGGTCGTACTTCGGCTCCTCATGGACTTGTTCTAATTTTCTTCAATTTCAACTTGAACTTGCATATGAGCAATTGATGGTCTGTTCCGCAGTTGGCCCCTGGCCGTGTTTTGACTGATGATATTGAGCTTTTCCATCGTCTGTTTCCACAGATGTAGTCGATTTGATTCTTGTGAATTCCATCTGGCAAGGTCCACGTGTATAGTGGCCCTTTATGTTGTTGAAAAAAGGTATTTGCCGTGAAGAAGTCGTTGATCTTGCAAAATTCAATCGTGTGATCTCCAGCATCGTTTCTATCTCTAAGGCCATATTTTCCACCTACCGATCCTTTTTTGTTTCCAACTTTCGCATTCCAGTCATCAGTAATTATGAATGCATCCTGATTGCATGTTCAATCAATTTCAGACTGCAGAAGCTGGTAAAAATCTTCAATTTCTTCATCCTTGGCCTTAGTGGTTGGTGCGTAAATTGGAATAATAGTCGTATTAACCGGTCTTCCTTGTAGGCAGTATGGATATTATCTGATCACTGACAGCATTGTACTTCAGGATAGATCTTGAAATGTTCTTTTTGATGATGAATGCAACGCCATTCCTCTTCAAGTTGTCATTCCCGGCATAATAGACCATATGATTGTCTGATTCAAAATGGCCAGTACCAGTCCATTTCAACTCACTAATGCCTAGGATATAGATGTTTATCCGTTTCATTTCATTTTTGACGATTTCCAATTTTCCTAGATTCATACTTCGTACATTCCACGTTCCGATTAATAATGGATGTTTGCAGCTGTTTCTTCTCGTTTTGAGTTGTGCCACATCATCAAATGAAGGTCCCAAAAGCGTGACTCCATCCACATCATTAAGTTCGACTACTTTGAGGAGGCAGCTCTTCCCTACTTGTCTTTTGAGTGCCTTCCAACCTGGGGTGCTCATCTTCCGGCACTATATCAGACAATGTTCCGCTGCTATTCATAAGGTTTTCACTGGCTAAATCTTTTCTGAAGTAAACTGCCGGGTCCTTCTTCCTGGTCTGTCTTAGTCTGCAAGCTCAGCTGAAACCTGTGAGCCATGTGTGACCTTGCTAGTATTTGAATACCGGTAGCATAGCTTCCAGCATCACAGCAACACACAAGCCCCCACAGTACAACAAACTGACAGACACGTGGGGGTGGCATGCGGATGAGGGTGGTTTATTACTCTCTGGCCTAATTTGCTTTAGTGTGGAGCTGCCTTGGAGAATCAGGCTGCAGAAGCCCTTTCCAAGATCTGCATCCCAAGCTGACCTGAGGTGATGATTGCAGCTTCCCAGGGACTCCTACCCCCTCCTGGGTTCAGGCACTCTTTGGGACTGCACTCACAGCTTGACTCACAGCTAGGGACTGGAGTGATGGCTGGGCTTCATGAGGGAGGCTATGGCTTCCCGCAAGTTTGAGTCCTTGCGGGGTGTCTGAAAGAGCGTTAAGCATTCTTTATGCCAGTTGTTTAATCCTTGGGGTATTTGAAAGAGATACAAGCACTTCTTAGATCAATATTTTCAAGGCTCATCTGATGCAAGCCTTTCCCTGGGGCTGGGGAATGGACTGTTTCTCCAGCTTCCCTCTCTCCAGGGTAGATAGGAACTTGAACACTTACGAACTGCTTGTATTTTCCTCCCTGGGAAATTTGTGTATATGTGTGATTACGGTGGAAGGAGGGGATAAAGATCGATTGAAAACTGGACAATTATGGTGTTTGTTCCTTTACAACTGAGTTTCCCAACCTTTTTCCATTATTCTCCCCCCGTCACCACCCACACACACCAGCCTTGGATGGGGCAAATGGTTAAGTACTCGGCCGCTAAACAGAAGGTTGGAAGTTGGGGTCTACCCAGAGGCACCTTGGAAGAAAGGCCTGGTGATCTACTTCCAAAATATCAGCCATTGAAAACCCTGTGGAGCATAGCTCTACTCGGACACACATGGGGTTGCCATGAGTTGAAATCGACTCACTGCAGCTGGTTACCCAGTTAGCCTTTTTGTGTGTTGTTGTCACTGTTGTTGGACGCCATTGAGTTGATCCTGACTCACAGCAACCCCATGTGTCAGAGCAGAATAGCCCCATAGGGTTTTCTTGGCTGCAGTCTTCACGGGAGCAGACAGCCAGGTCTTTGTCCTGCGGAGCTGCTGGCTAGGTTCAAACTGCCAGCCTTTTAGTTAGCAGCCAAGAGCTTAACCACTGTGCTACCAGGGCTTCTTAGCCTTTTTTTAGACACTGTATTCTCCTGGTGGCACAGTGGTTAAGAACTATAGCTACTAACCTAAAAGTCAGCAGTTCAAATCCACCAGCCATTCCTTGTAAACCCTATGGGGCAGTTCTACTCTGTCTTGTAGGATTGCTGGGAGCCTGACTTGACAGCAATGTGTTTTTTTGGTTTCAGTATTCTGCTAATTGCCTTTTCCCTGTGAAAAGTGATACCATAGATATAATGTAAATCTATTTAGGTACTGTATGTATATCTGCACTTTGTACATAGAGTTAGATGTTTTTGCTCCCTTGGTGGTGATGTGGCCGCTGTTGATAATGCATGCTGTGCAGCAGTTCACAAACTGCCCCCTTGGCAGCCTCCACTACAGGAGAGAGGGAAGAAGGCAGTTTATCAGGAGCAGGGAGCAAATTGCAGTCCTGCTCTGCTTACTGGCCACTGGCCTTAGGCAGGTTACTTTACTTCTCTGGGACTGTTTCCTCGTTGGAAGATGGGGATAAGAACTCCTTCCTCCCTGGACTGTTGGGAGGAATGTGTGAGATAATACTGTACACATAAAGTGCTTAGCAAAGTACCTGGTAAGTGCTGGATGAATTAAACTCTTGTTGTCATTGTCATGTCAAATCACTGTGAGGCCTGAAACCCCCTCTGGGGCCGTGATGCCAGGGGAGCTTGAGGGCTGGTTTTCTCTTTCCCCTCACCTGACCAGGTCAGAAGTCTGTGGTTCCCAGCCTGGAGCCTCCATCAGAGGCCCCCAGGGTACATAAGGGGGTGATTCTGGCTGGGTGGGGACTGTGGGCACATGGACAGCCCACTGTGACCCATTTAAATGTGGCAGCTGCTCCCCGGTTGTAGCCCAGTGGAGCAATGCAGGAACGGGACCCTAGTAGTGTCAGAACTCCTGATTTCTCAAGGAGAAAACGCAAGTCTGGATATTTGTGTAAAATCTCCTGATTTTTAAAGTATTGGTTCAGTGAAACAATAATGTGGGCCAAACATAAGAGATGAGGAAATCAAGTAATACTAAGAACAAGTGACTTGTTACAAGTTAGTAGCCTAGCTGAGACTCCAATCTAAGTCTTCCAAATCCAGGGTTCTTTGCACATAACCCAGCCCCACCCTGGCCTCACAACCGCTCCCCATCAGTGCCTCTCGCTTCCGCCCTTGCAGGCTATAGCCATCCCGCATTGGGACCAACGCATCCAGCGCCCCTCCCCATTATCCAACCCGTTCCCAGCAGGACTTGGATCTGTCTCCAGAGGGTGAAGAAAGTCGGGGTCTCCCAGTCTTGCGCTGCGGAACGTCTGTGCATTCACTCCTGGGGAGAGCTTCGGGCTCGAGGATGCGGTGGGGGCGGGCACCGAAGTAGGAGGCGGGACGGTTGTCCCGACCTAGAGTGAGACTGCAGCCCGAGGGAGGGGGTGTGGCCGGTGGGCCACCGGCCGCGCCCAGCCATTCACCTCTTGGACCTCGGGTTCTCCGGGCTGAAACAGCCTGTTGTTCGCACCCGCCGCTCTGACCCTGTCACCCTGGGCATTGTTTTCTCTTCGCCCCCATCGCGGATGGGAGGCCAGGCACGCCTGGGTTCAAGAGCCTGGCTTCCCGCCAGGCCAGTGGCCTTCGGCCCTGGGGCCACTGGGGTGGCTCCGCCTCCAAGGCGGGAGGAGAGAACTTCTGGGTCTGGGTCCTGCCTGGCTGTCTTGCCCTCTCGGCTCCAGCTCTGCCATGGGCTCCTGCAGCTCCCACGCAGCGAGCATTCCCGACTGGGATGACATCCGCCGGGAGACCGGCTGTGAGTGGCGCGCCGGATGCAGGCGTCCCGGCTCTGCTGGCTGGGCAGGAAGATCGAGGGCAAACCCAGACGTCCGGGGCTGGGGACCCGAGGGGGTATAGTGCAAGGACTTCAGTCTAGAAGTCCCCCGCGGAGGGAGTTGGTTTGAGGCATAGAAGGCCGGAGTCCCGGGCCCGGGAGCTGGGAGACCAAGATCCAAGCGTCTAGGATCGCAGGGCTAGTGGTGCGTTCACCTAGACGCGCGAGTGTCCACATTTGACGACGACTGGTGTCACGGGGTTGGGGAGAGGGCTGATTAATCCTGGAACCCAGGTGTTCTCGAGCTCGGGTCGAGGCTAGAGGCAGGGCCCGAAGGCGGATGGAGGGGATTGACTTTGATCTCTTGGTTCCCCTAGAGGGGGGCTCTAGGACCCGGCGAGCCGCCCCAGGTTTCCAGCTCTGACCCTTTACTGGGTCTTGTCACGCCCCCTCTAGCCCTAGCAGCTCCGGTCGCCGGGGTCCGCGGTTGAATGTGCCCTCCGGCAAGCCCTTTCAATGCTCAGCCCACCTCTGCGAGCTGCCGGGAGCGGGTTTCTGGAGCGCTCCCCATGGCGCTCGGATCCCGCAGCGTCCCGAAACTCCTCCGCGGCGTGACCGTTCCGCATTCTCTTGTGCAGTCTCGCAAGCCAGCCTGGTTCGCCTCCACCATCGGTTCCGGGCACTGGACTGCAACAAGAAGGGCTACCTGTGGTGAGCGGGAGCTGACTAGGCTGTGGCGGTGGGGGGCTGACGTTATGACCTCCCACCGGTCTCCCTGACCCCATCCCCCACCTTGACCTACATCTTCCATATTTGCCCTACCCTCTTTGCCCTTTGATTTTACAGCCGCATGGATCTCCAGCAGATTGGGGCTCTGGCTGTGAACCCTCTGGGAGACCGTATTATAGACAGCTTCTTTCCTGATGGGTGAGGCTTCGCTGAGGGTGGGGAGGTGGTGCGGGTGGGATTAGGGATGGATGCAGAAAGAGAGCTAAGGTGACCACTGCCTGGGCTCTATCCTATCCACCAGGAGTCACAGTGTGGATTTCCGAGGCTTTGTCAGGATCCTGGCTCACTTTCGCCCTGTAGAAGATGAAGGCACAGGAATCCGGGACCCCAAGGAACCTGAACCTCTCAACAGCAGAATGAACAAACTTCGCTGTGAGTTTCTGTGTTTCCACCCAAGGGGTAGTCAGAGGTCTAAGTCATTTCCAGCCTGGAGCTTCCACCAGAGACCCACCGTGTACACACTGGTTGCCAACTCATAGTGACCCTGTAGGACAGAGTAGAACTGCCCCATAGGGTTTCCAAAGCTGTAATCTTTAGGGAAGCAGATTGCCACATCTTTCTCCTACAAAGTGATTGGTGGGTTCAAATTGCCAACATTTTGGTTAGCAGCTGAGCGCTTAAGCACTGTGCCACGAGGGCTCCCGTGGTGTACATAAGGGAGTGAATTCACCTGGGTGGGGACTGTGCATCTTGCCTGATCTGAATGTGGCAGCTGGTAGAGACACCAGGTTTACCACACCAGGAACCTCCCATACCTTTTGTGAGCCTATTAATGACCCACTCCTCTGGGTTGCCCTTCTGCTGGAAGAGAAACAGGAAAGACCCACCTTCTTTTCCCCCCTCCACTCTCTTCCCAGTTGCCTTTCAACTCTATGACCTGGATCGAGATGGAAAGATCTCCAGGCATGAGATGCTACAGGTGGGAAGAATGCAAGGGCAAGAGATATGATGTGTGAAGGGTGGGGTGGTTGACTGCAGTGATTATGGGGTGATGAAGTGTGATTAGTGGATAGAGGTTGCAGATAATTGGGGTACTCTTGATGAGACAGATTGACACAGTGGCTGCAACAATGGGCTCAAGTATAGCAATGATTGTGAGGATGGTGCAGGACCAGGCAGTGTTTCGTTCTCTTGTACATAGGGTCGCTATGAGTCAGAATTGACTTGATGGCACCAAACAACAACAACAATGGGGATGAGTAGGGTTAGCGTGTGGGCTAGTTAGAAGATGAGGGGGACACTTGGATATGAGGTTGGGAATAGATCAATTGTTCTCAGCTATGGTTGACTTTGCCCCTAGAGTGACATTTGGCAATATCTGGAGACATTTTTGGTTGTCACAACTTGGGGGTGGTATGTTAGTGGCATGTAGTAGGTAGAGGTCAGGAATGCTGTTAAACATCCTACAATACACAAGATAGCCTCCTACAACACAGAATTATCTGACTGCAAATATCTATAGTGCTAGGGTTAAGAATCTCTGAAATAGATGTTGGGATAAGGTGGAGGATGGAATTGGGCATAGCTGGAGAATGGGGTGGAGAATAGATAGAGGTTAGGGTATAAGGTTGGGGTTGGGTAATGAATTTGGGCATATTGTTGAGGTGAGTGTGGGACACTGAGGAATGGATTGGGGATTGGATGGAGAGTCAGTGGGGGAAATTATTGATGGATATGTTGGAAAATGATTGGGATGGGATCAAAAATGAATGAGAGATGGATTATGAAATTGGCAGTAACTTTTGGAGTGAGGTGGGCAAGGTTTTGGGGATGGTGGGAGTAGCCTTTGTGCCTCCTTTCTATGGCTGCTTCTCCCCTCACCTCCCAGGTTCTCCGGCTGATGGTCGGGGCACAGGTGACAGAAGAGCAGTTGGAGAGCATTGCTGACCGCACAGTGCAGGAGGCTGATGAAGATGGGGATGGTGCTGTGTCCTTCCTGGAGTTTGCCAAGGTCAGACTACCCTTAGGGCCAGGGCAGTTGAGATCAGGAGCCCCTAGGACAGATGGATGTGGGAAATGAAGTTCAAAGGAGGAGGACAGAAATATAGGAGTTCCCAGGGAATGGTGGGGTCTTAGGGATGGGTAGAACCCTGGGAGGAGGTTGGAAGCATAGGGGATTAGGGTGCAAGCCTCTTGACTACCACCCCTCTCTCCCTAGACCTTAGAGAAGATGAACGTTGAGCAAAAGATGAGCATCCGAATCCTGAAGTGACCTCTTTGTGTGTGTGATGAGTTCATGCAGACCAACATCTGCTTGGGATTCATCCTCAGCCCCCTTGGAGGCAGGACCCCAATGAACTGTATTCTTACTTCTAAACTGACCTTCATTTAGGGTCAAGGAGAGGAAGCTGGAAGGGTGTCTACTAAAGTCTAGCCTGTTTGATCTCAGATCTGGGAATCAGCCAGCAATCTTTTGGTTGCAAGTAAATGAAAGCCCAACTCAAAGTGACATAAATAAAAAAGGGATTTTATGGGCTCATATATTGAAAAAGTCTGGACGTATGTCTTCAGGCACAGCTGGATGCAAGGGTTCAAAAGATGTCATCAGAACTCAGTTATTCTCCATCTCTCTACTTGGCTTTCTTCTATGTTGGCTTCACTCTCAGGAGGGCTCTTTCCTTATGGTAAAATAAAGCTGCCAGCAGTTCCAGGCTTCCATCCTGCTAGCCCAGTACCCAGTGGGAAGAGATTTTCTTTTCCAATAATTCCAAGCAAAGACTTAAGTTTAAGTGTCATTGGCCCGATTGGGGTCCTGTCCTTACCTCCTGGGGAATGGAATGCTCTAATTGGCTAGGCCCACGTCACATGCTCACTCCTAGAACCAGGAAGTAAGGTCTGAGGACTCAGGATGGGGGAAGGGGTGCTTGCTTAAAAGCACAGAGTAGAACTGCCCCATAGGGTTTCCAAGGAGCGGCTGGTGGATTAGAACTGCTGACCTTGGTTAGCAGCTGAGCTCTTAACCACTGGGCCCCCAAACCAAAAAAAAAAAAAAACCCAAGCTCGTTGCCGTGGAGTCAATTCTGACTCATAGCGACCCTATAGGACAAAGTAGAACTGCCCCATAGGGTTTCCAAGGGGTGCCTAGTGAATCTGAACTGCCGACCTTTTGGTTAGCAGCCATAGCTCTTAACCACTACATTACCAGGGTTTTCTGACTGAGCCACCAGGGCTCCGTAAAAGCAAAAGAGGTACTCTTATCAGAAGAAGGAAGAATGAGGCTGGTCAAGCAAAACAAGAGATGTCCATTACTGTTTGGTTGTCCAAATGGGAGGACCCTTGCAGTCTAGCCTCTTAAATCAGTGTGTGGGGGTGGGGATGGGGTGTGGGGAGAGGCAATGTAAAAACAATGAACAAGACATACATTCCTGGAGTGTGAAATCTTTCAAAGTTTTGAGGGTAACCTTGTTGCTTCTATGGTTGCCCCGGGTTGACTCTGACTCATTGCAACCTCATTTGTGTCTGAGTAGAACTGTGCTCCACAGGGTTTCCAATGGCTGATTTTTTGGAATTAGATCACCAGGCCTTTCTTCTGAGGTGTCTCTGGGTGGACTAGAACCTCCAACCTTTCTGTTAGAAGCTGTTATGGATTGAATTATGTACCCCCAAAATGTGTGCCAACTTGGCCGGGCCATGATTCCCAGTATTTTGTGATTGTCTACCATTTTGTGATCTGATGTGCTTTTCCTGTGTTGTAAATCCTACTTTTATGATGTTAATGAGGCAAGATTAGAGGCAGTTATGGTTGTATCTTGAGTCAATCTCTTTTGAGATATAAAAGAGAGAATCGAGCACAGAGGAGAGGGACCTCATTACCACTGAGCAAGAAGAACCAGGAGTGGAGCATGTCCTTTGGACTCAGGGTCCCTGTGCTGAGAAGCTTCTAGACCCAGGGGAAGATTGATGACAAGGACATTCCCCCAGTGCCAACAGAGAGTGAAAGCCTTCCCCTGAAGCTAGCACCTTGAATTTGTACTTCTAGCCTCCTCAACTGTGAGAGAATAAACTTCTGTTTGATAAAGCCATCTACTTGTGGTGTTTCTGTTATAGCAGCACTAGGTAACTAAGACGGCAGCCAAATGCTTAACCATTTGTGCCACCTGGGGACTCCTTTCTGATTTTAGCTGGTTGGAAATCATGTAAAGACTATGCACCTTTGGGGCTTGGGAACGTGGAAGTGTCTGAGGGTGGTGTTCAAACCTCATTTTAACATTTGTGTTTTGATTGTACATAGTATGATTCTGACAGATGACTCTCATAGTTGCAGGGGGAGGGCGAAGGGGACATTTAATTCCTTGGGGAATTTTGTCATTTTGTCAGAGGATTGCCACATGAACAACGACTTTCTGATTGAGGAATGTCTTTGGCTCCAGATTAAAGTGTGTGTGTGGCGGTGGCGGGGGAAGGAGAACTCAACTCAGTGAGTGACCATTTTTCCAGGCAGTGTGAGGGAAGATGTGTTTAGAGAGAAACTGTGACTCTCCATAGTGAAGAGAAAGGAGCTCTGGTGGTGCAGTAGTTAAAGCACCTGGTTGCTAACCAAAAGGTCGGTGGTTCAAACCCACCAGCTGCTCCATGGGAGAAAGATATGTAGTCTGCTTTTGTAAACTTTACAGCCTTGGAAACCCTATGGGGCAGTTCTATTCTGTCCTATAGGGTCGCTGTTAGCTGGAAGTGACTCAACTGCGAAGGGTTTTAGAGAAGAGAGATAGAGATAATTTGGTCCAAACCACACAGGAAATAGTCTTTCTCTATAGCTGGTCTTTTTTCTCCATTATAATGTTTCCCAAAATTTCCTGATGGTAAATATCATCGGATTAAAAAATTCAGACCCTTTGGCCTCATTTCAGAGCTCCTGAGTCTCCAGAGAAATCTGTAAGCGATTCTGATGCTGGAGGTCTAAGGACCAAACTTTTAGAAACGCTGACTGTGTTTCTAAAAAAATGCTTCCAGTCCGGCTCCTAGTGACAGCTATCTACATGAGGGTCTTCACCATCTGTGAAGTATGCAGCATGACCTCTGGCCCTTACGAGGCTCTCAAGAAAGGTCTCCTCTTCCGCGCATGCCCATGCCTGCTCTGGGACTTCGGTGTCAGTGCTAGTACTCCTGATCTACTGAGTATGGCCAGAAGGCTTTCGGGATCCCCAAGACTTAACTCGCAGTTCTGGTGGATGGGAGGGTAAAAGCTCCCAGACCCTGGTCCAAGCTCAGGAGGTTGGAGACCTTTGTCATGGGGGTGGAGAGACATCAGCCTGCAGCACAATCTCCCTGACCCTCACGCTACTGATGTCAACTCTGGTAAGAAACAAGCTCTGCTGTTTCAGACGGGAACTTCCATTACAAGGGGGGGTTGGGGGATGGAAGGGTGGAAAGTGAGAGAGGGCTGTGCTGTGAGTAACAGTTGCCAAATTCCAATGATTTGTTGAATGTTTTCAACATTGTTGCTGTACAGTACCTATCACCTCTACCATTATTTACCTATTATTTGTCTTTAGATGGATTCATTTAAAATTATAGATTTGAGTTTATAAAGGAAATTGGACATGACTCCTGTCAGTTAAAAGCCACAGGTCAATTGCCATAAATAAAATGGCAATGAAATTCAGTACATAGAAAGAAACAAACAAAAATGTCAAAAAGGAAGATTAGCAAGTGTTACAGAGATGTAAAGGACATACCTGCCCGGAACAGACTTTTCTTTGGTCATCTGAAGGATGGAAAAAGAATTGAAAAGGGAACAACCTTTTCATTGTGTGATTCAATGTTATTAAAAGCTGCGTGTTACTACCAAAAATCATCTTGTGTACACGAGTGGTATGTTTCCCACACTTTGGGAACCACTGGCTCAGAGGAACTATGAGAAAATGATCCTGGGTTGAGCCTGCGTCCTGCAGGACCCATGCTGCAGGCAGCCATCCGTGGGTTGGGCATCCTCATCCTCAGACTGGACATTGGTCAGCTTGTGTTTGGTAGAGGTTGGCCATCAAAATAGAGTCCAGTCACCAGATTAGGCCCAGAGACAAGCAGCAGGGCATTATGACAGGTGCTTTATAGAGTTGGAAATGTTAAAAAGCAACAGCTGTCTGCTAACATTTGTGTCCAGAATCTGGTAAGACTTGTAAGCTTGGAGATAGGGCCTGTGAACCTGCCCACTTGTTGGACTAAGATAACAGAGTTAGAGAGGAGCTGGAGGCAGCTCTAGTCCTGGTGCTTGGAATCCTCATTTGAGGGATGCTGGGTGGTGCAAGGAGTCCCTGGGTGGTGTAAACAGTTAACACACTCGGTTGCTAACTGAGAAGTTGGAGGTTCAAGTTCACCCAGAGGTGACTCAAAAGAAAGGCCTGGTGATCTACTTCCAAAACACCAGCCACTGAAACCCTATGGAGCACAGTTCTACTCTGACCCACATGGGGTCACCACGAGTTGGAATTGACTTGACGGCAACTGGTTTTGGTTCCCAGAAAGTTGTGGGATGGGCACCAGCGCTGTCCCAGCTCATTCCACCAGGGCTGCTGGGAGGGACCTTGGCTAACCTTGAATTTTCTGGAAGAACCCATCTACATGTCCTACAGAGGAGATGGGAGTTCCAGAGGAAGCCCATTTCCTTGCTAAGGAGACTGAACCCAAGATAGTATTTCTAGGGAGCCATGGGAATAGAAGCAAGTAGATGAAGCTAAATAGTGACATAGACCTACTTAAGGCTATCATTGCCTCTTCCTAACTGATCAGGAAAATGGTTAAGAATTCTGAGCTTGACTTTCTAATAGAAGGAAACTGCAGGTTGTCCTCAGCCCAACCCAGCCAACACCAATAAAACTCTCTTGATAGTATAAGGGGCAATCTACAGACTTGATTCCTGTTATTGACCAACCCTGAGAATCAGTGTGGTTTAGCAAAAATAACTTGAGTATCAGAGTCCTCTTAGACCTGGGCTTGAATCTGGGCCCTTTTACTTACCTGCTGTATAACCTTGGGTAAATAACTTCACCCTTCAATGCCTCAGCTTCATTATCTGTGAAAGAAACAGATAATAGCATCTACTTTGCAGTATCTTGTCCATTTCCCTACCCTTCTAATCCCCCTACAGCCCTACTTCACTTCAGCTGAGACTCCTTGGCCCCTATCTGTAAGCTTGGGCTGTGGGCCTGTATCAGTCAGGATTCTTTCATTTGCCAACTGGTTTATGAAAGAACAGGAATTTATTGGTTCATATAA